AGCTCGCCATCAGCTCCAACGGGCAGTGCGCAGGCAGAAAATGACAGCGGACCTTTGAAGATCAGAAGCTCCATCTTACCAACCTGGTCAGAAGGTCTGGCTGTCAACCTGGGACATCAGGCTGCGCCTGCCCTGCAAGAAGCTAAGTTGGTCCCAGATACGTTGGTCCCACGATGGTGACCATCTCCAAACAAATAAATCCGGTCACGTACCAACTTCAGCTTCCACCTCAATACAAAATTCACCCCACATTCCATGTGTCACTGCTCAAACCTCACCACCCTTCTGTTTCTGCTTCCACAGAGCCTGGCCCGACAGAGGAACCCCCTCTTCCCTTGATTCTGGAGGACGGTGCCGTCTACAAGGTGAACAAGATCTTGGACTCCCGGTGCCGTGGTGGCCAACTGCAATACCTCATAGACTGGGAAGGATATGGCCCAGAAGAACAGTCTTGGGTCCCCAGGGATGATATTCTTGACCCCATGCTATTGGAGGAATTCCATTCCACGCATCCCGACCGTCCTGCTCCCCGAGGAAGGAGTAGACCAGGTCCTCAGGTGCGGGCCATGGAGGGGGGGGGGTACTGTCACGGATCGGCCAGGTTCACTCACCACCCAATCACAGCGCACACCTTCACCTGAGTTCTGATTGCACGCACCTGTTCATGATCATCACCCTCATCAAGGCACTTCATAAGCACACACCTCACCTCACTCCAGTGTCCGATCTCGCTTATACGAAGTGGACTCTTCATGCTACTCCAACGAATGATTGATATCATTACCTTCCTCGTGTACTTACCTCCTGTGTTCTACTCCAACGCCTGTGTCCTCCTACGTCTCCGGGAACACCCCTCCAGTCCTTACTACGGTGAGTTGTGTGCCACCTTCCATTCCACCATCTGCTCTTCCACGGACTCCTGCAAGGGCAAGCATACTCATTCCCACACCTCAATTACAATTGAACATTTCCATTTGAACTGCTTACTCAACTACCAGTCTACCACCAGCATCTGTTGCTGTTCAATCAATAAACCTCCTCTGTAATTCCTAACCTTTTGTGTGAGTCTCCTTCCATAACAATATTAGGAAGGATAATTTTTTATCAGAATTTTTTATTATTGATCAGAAGGTGCTCTTACATTTTTTCAAATTAGGAGGAGAAGAGCTCCTAAAAAGAAAAGTAAGCATAGAGCCATGTGTAACAGTATATTACAGTAGATCTGTGCATGAGGTCTTAAAGAGACAGCAGCCTAAATAAACCTCCTGCTGCCTTTCATTATACAGTGAAGACTATCCAGTGTTATTTTACAGTTTAATAGATTACAGTTAGACCTACCTGAAAAATGTATGTCCTGTTAATTTAATTTGTATCTTGTTATTGTTTTTGTTTGTGCTATTGCCTATCATTCATTTATTTGTTCTTATTTTATTATTTACTTGTCTTTGTTAGTTACAATAAATTAAATTCTGAGTGCACCTGATTCTTGGGTGGGGATGGGGCGTGGTCCATGGGAAATAGTCCTGCCACCACAGCTGGAAAAAATCCTAGGAAACACTGCATACATTTAATAAAATTAGAAAAATGCCATTGCAAAGGTAAAAAGAAAATGCCCCTGTAAATCAGTTTGAGTCAAATGTCACCTCATATTAGGAAGGCTAATTTTTAATCAGCAAAGTCCACTAAAGGAGGTAGAGCTTTTTCGCATTTGGCTCCCAAACTCTGGAATAGCCTTCCTGATAACGTTCGGGGTTCAGACACACTCTCTCTGTTTAAATCTAGATTAAAAACACATCTCTTTGGCCAAGCATTCAAATAATGCATCTCATAATCTTGTACTGCAGTTATATCTGATCAAATGCACATTATTATTCTTTAGTTTGGGTTAAAGAAATCAATTTTGTTTGGTTGGAACAGCAGCTATGCTAATCATGTCTCTATTTGTTTCTCTGTTTCTGCTGGGATTGACATCCCGTGGTAACTAGGATTTACACAAGCTTCAGTCTGGATCCAAAACACCTGAGAAGAGATGATGCCAACCCCTCAGAAGACCTCAGATGATGTCAATCCTGAAACAACATACAGAACTAGCAAATTTTGCTATAAGTTTGATTGCATCATATAATAATTGCTGTTAATAGTGTTCATCGTCTGTTTGATTACGTCTTTAATTGATTACATCTTTAATTGATTTTTCCGTACATTTATGCCATATGTACATTAACTGACAGTCACCACTGATAAGCTACAACTAAATATTGTAGAAACTTAATTTGCTTAAACTTAAAGTTGCTTTGCAGCGATTTGTATCGTGAAAAGTGCTATACAAATAAACTTGAATTGAATTGAATTGAATGCTTAGCCAATGTATTGCATGTGTATTGTGATGTACAGCAAGACATATATTTCATAATGTGAGTTTCACCCCACTTTCCATTTTTTTTATTTCAGTGATAGGTTAGAATTTTGTGAATTTTTTTAATGAAAGATCAAAAGGATAAAACAGATTTAAAAAGATTTATCCAACTTGGTTTAATTCAGAGTTCAAAATGCTTGCCATAAACTCAGGATTTCATTCAGAGTTTCTGATTATCTCTGGAGCGTGTGCACCTAAAAGTGTGACATCTGCAGCCAATAGTTGATCAGGTTAAACATGGAAGGATTCAGTTTGAGAGTTGGTGCAATTCACTTCTCTGCTGAAGACTAAAAGATTGTTCTGAAAAATATCATGTCCTAGAGCATTCTCTGAACAATGCCATCCAAACCTAGTTGCCCCATTGGTTTTTCCAAAAAGTGATGTCATTGGAAATAGAGTAAGACAAACAAAAGTAAAAAAAAAAAGTTTTGAAAGACTTGGCATACAAAAACAACACTTTACGCTTTACATTATCACGCATTGAGAGAAACAATTGAAATAGACATTTTAAAAAAACAGAACAAAAGATAATAGAACAAAAATACCAGTAGTAGAACACTTAAAGTGGAAGTGAAGCAGTCAGTCAAGTTTACATTATTTTGTAAACTGATTTTCACATTATTAAAAAATATGTATACAAACACAATTAGTGTAACCATTTTAAAGAAAAAGGGATGTTTTGCTATATCTTTTGGAGCAAGGGTGCCGCCATCTTGGAATACCACAGTGTGTGACATCATGGGGTTGGTTCGCTCCATTAGCACTACTAGTGAACGAGCCAGTGTAAATGCAAATATGTCTGAAAGGCCTGATATAACAATACGATGCCACGTGAACAATATCGTATGAAGTGTTGTTTGTTTACATCACGTTGCACCTCGCGTTATGAAAACAATGTTTGGGATACCATGATCAAAATTTTGTGATGTAGATAGTTTTATTTTTGTGAAAACCAAAAACATTTCTTCACTTTTAATAAAGTACATTAAAAAGGAGTAATAAAAGAGCCAAACTAAAAAATAACAACACCCATGTAACATCATATAACATCAGATTTACTATATAATTCGATATATTAGTATGTACATCACCTGTGTTGAAAAATGTATTGTAATTTAATAAATACATGAATGTCTAATATATTTGCTTTTCCAGTAGTCTCTTTAGGTTGACTGCATACAAACAGTTTACACTGTGGGCCAGAGGGCATTTGGTGAAGAAGAACCGGATCTCTAGTCCAGCCTGTGCTGTCAGCTCTATTAGGGCTGTTTTTCCCCTTGTGGAATATCATGGATTTGAATATGCATACCTGTATGATGATTTGTAAGCATACAATGTTGGCCATTACAGATGATTAACAATAATATTTCATGGACTCTAATGAACATTTGAAGGTTTACTATCAATAAATTACTATTATTACTACTATAATGACTCTCTGACAATGAACTGAGCTCAGACTTTAGATATTACAATTTTGGGAACATTGATAAATAACGCCTCCAAGATAAAGCAATTCCTGTTGGCAAAGAAAGACCAAACTATAAGAATAAAGACTAAAAAATATATAACATGTATACATGGGTGATTTGAATAATAAAGTTTGGATCTCAAAAAAACGTAAAAATGACTTCAAAAACAAGAAGAATGCATATTGGAAAGAGCATTCTGCAGTGTTCCTACAGTAATGGAAATCTAGAGAACTCGTGTTATTTATAGTCATAGAACAATCTTTACATTTTATATTGTAACTATATAGAAATCATGTATGATGTCATCAGATGTCACTTTAACTTATCAACTCATCATCTATATTTTTGCTTTTCCACAGTGAGCAGTGTTACGGGGCTGTGAAGATGCAAATCTACTCAGATGCCTGGCAACAGTTTCTGCTTTATCTGGTTTTTCTACACCTTTGTGCTGGGCCAGGGTTCTGGGAGTCTCGGTTTTCAGCTCCTGCAATGTTGCTCGGATGGTTGTTGACTTGCACCTATTGATCACACTTGCCACAATGTTCCTCCTGAAACTGTAGTCCTTGTCCACCTTCAGTGGTGTCACTACATACTGTCACGGTTCATGGGTCCGTGCGGTCCTTTTGCGTCTTGTCATGTGGTTGTATGTGTGTACGTCATTCATTAGTGGTTGCAGCTGGCGTTCAATCAGAGTGCGCCAGCTGCAACTCATTAGCGATTCCTTTATAGGACACCTTGTTCAATGTGTGTTTGTCGGTTCGTTATTCTCATGTCCTGTCTCCCTGTCAGTTCTCTGTTTTCAGCTCTCGCTCAGTCAGGGTACGGATCTTGAGCCCTCTCCTTGGTTTGGCCAGCGCTTTGGGAGGAAGGCTTCTCAAGAGGAGCTCTGATCTTGACCAAGACCCCGAGGATTTATCACCTTGTGTCTCCGTTATTGTGGTTACTAAATAAACCACCATCTTCGTTTCCCACTGAAGAGGCTAAAATGGCTTTTGTCATAACGTTGCTCTCGGGACGAGCGGCTAACTGGGGAACCACAGTGTGGGAACGGAGACTGCCTTGTTGCTCGTCTTTTCAGGCTTTTTCTGAGGAGCTTCGGAAAGTTTTTGATCATGCTGCTTCGGGCAGAGAAGCAGCACGACTTCTCGCCGAGTTACGTCAAGGACAGAGCACGGTCACTGTCTATTCAAATCGAGTTTCGCACATTGGCTGCAGAGTGTGGGTGGAATGCAGAGGCACAGTGGGACATGTTTCTGTTTGGACTTTCTGATAGAATTAAGGATGAGATCGATTCATCAGAGTTACCGACCGGGGTGGACGAACTCATAGCTTTAGCCATTCGGGTGGACATCCGATTGTGGAGGCAGGATCAACGACAACTCCGAGAACCGCCGTTCGCTTCACAGACTCAATTACCTTCACTCACCAGTAAAACTCTTCTCTCTTCCAGAGCCCGAGCCCATGCAGGTGGGAAGGTTCCGACTCTCACAACAGGAGAGGCAGAGACGTAAGAGAGAGGGATTGTGTTTATACTGTGGCGGCCACGGACACATCGCAGCACAGTGTCCAGTAAAAGACAACGCCCGCCAGTAGGTAGGAGGTTATTGACGGGTGCCATCAAAGGACACAAATCCTCTTATTCGAGCACTCATCTTTCTGTGAGGCTGGTAATTCGGTCTTTTGCGTCTTGTCATGTGGTTGTATGTGTGTACGTCATTCGTTAGTGATTGCAGCTGGCGCTCAATCAGAGCGCGCCAGCTGCAACTCATTAGCGATTCCTTTATAGGACACCTTGTTCAATGTGTGTTTGTCGGTTCGTTATTCTCACGTCCTGTCTCCCTGTCAGTTCTGTTTTCAGCTCTCGCTCAGTCAGGGTAAGGATCTTCAGCCCTCTCCTTGGTTTGGCCAGCGCTTTGGGAGGAAGGCTTCTCAAGAGGAGCTCTGATCTTGACCAAGACCCCGAGGATTTATCACCTTGTGTCTCCGTTATTGTGGTTACCAAATAAACCTTTATATTTGCACTTGCACTTGGATCCTGACTCTTCTCTTCCGTGACACATACTACTGAGCAGCCTTGGAGTACTGTTTATGTTGCTTCTCCCCTTTCTTTGTTTTAGCCTTCTCGCTGTTCACATTGTTGTTGTGATCTAGCACTGCAACACGCAGACGTGCCTCCAAACTTTCCCTCAGAAATTTCTTCCTCTTTGTTGCATATTTTGTATACAGGGAGTGAAGACTTTCTAGCTGTCCTGTGTGAATGCCTAGTGTGGGTTTTTTTTCAATTTCTTTAGGAGCTGCTTGTCAATCACTACTTTCTGCAGGTGCTGCAAGGCAGCAGAGCTATGATGGAGCCATGGACACTTCCTTCCTTCCTCAGGGGTGTTTGCAGGGTGCTCCTCACATTTGGTCATTGTCTCACCAGATACCCAGTTGTGCACATTGGTCATGTGATGCAGGATTGAAATCCACATCTCTTTTAACTTCATCACACTACCTTCACATGTTGTGACACAAAACCAGAAGTGGTTTGTGATCATTCTGATCAACTCAAACAGCTCTTCATTGTAGCACTGCAGCAGTCGTTTTTTGACAGACTTCACAATGTGCCAGAGGTCATACTCATGGTGTATTGATTCGTATACCTGATGCATGACTTTCTGCACTGATGGGTGGCAATCGGTTGCAAAAACAGATATGGTCACACTATAATCTCCCAGCTTAGAAAGGCACCTCTTCAAACCATCCACCTCAAGCCAATAACTGTTCCTCACCTCTGTCCCTTTTACAGTTTCCTGTGCCACCACCAACTTTGACTTAATGTCCAGGAGTGAGTAGGTTCCATATGACGCATTATGACCTGGGCTTTCATATCTGCAGTCTCCTGACACAATTAGTGGCTCATCATCACATAAAGTGCTCAGTACAGTCTCATTGTGTACTGTCCAGGCATTGTTGACCTCTGGGATGACGCAGGCCTTCTGTATGTTGAACTACTGTCTTTTTGATATGGTTATCAGACGAATGGTGTCACATACCTCAATGAATGGACTGCACTCGTTTCCAGTGACAAAGACAGCAGCAGGGACAGAAACATTTAATTTCATTATTCCCGCAACTAGTGGCTGAGAATGCCACATATAAGTATGGCCATTAATGCATTCTGTGGTTATCCTAAGGTCAAAAATACATTCAAAGACTCTTGTTGGCCTCACCAAACATTTGCCACAATCCTCCCAATGGCACAAGAGCTTCAGCAGTTCTCCTGTAGAGACGATACTTTTTCTATCTTGTAAGACACTGATTCTCAAAGTGTGGTACACATACCACTAGTGGTACGCAGAGGAATCACTGACTTAAATATAAATAAAAGTTAAAACAGTGTTTCCCAGCCACTGTTGTCGGGTGTGCCATGGAAAATTATCAAAAACTTCTTTGTCTCTATTATATTTCGTTATTATTTTAAATCAGTGCTATTGTTCATTGTTATGTCGGTTTGTGGATTTTACAAATATTTAACCAATGAAAAGCATTCAAAAGAGCTTGTGACTAAACTTGGATCTTGAAACTGTCAGTCAAACCTCATAACTCCACCCGAAGCGGAAGCGCCGCAACACGCAGTTTGAAGACAGAGGTTTAATAGAGATACTTCTTCGCAATGCAAGGGTAAATAAATAACTGATGTTTGAATAAGTACAGCATTCCGTTTACTCAAGAAACGCTGTCTATAAAGGCTAATGTTTTGTGTGTATAAAGAGCGGAGAAGAGTCTTAGCATTTGCTGTCTAGTTGTAGCCAATACACTTTAGTACGTTTTAAATATCATAGCTGTTCGTATTTTATATCGTGAGATTTTGCAAGTAGGTATAACTGCAGACCGGAGATCTCCAAATGGGGGCGGGAACTCCAAATGGGGGCGTGGCTTCCTCGCATTGACAGACAGGCACGACATTCATAGCGCGCCAAAGAACGGCGGTTCAGGTAAGCAGTCGGTCATGCAATATGATAGCACATAGGCTAAAGTTTGTTTTAGCTTTAATGAAAAACATAAATGTAGGTTTGTTGTGTTCAGGTGTGAACTTGGCATAAATAGTAAGGGATTTTTACACTATCGATAGCGTCATTATTCATGCAGTTTGCACTGTGTGTGTGTGTGTGTGTGTGTGTCTGTCTGTATGTGTGTTTAGTGCTTAAGAAAAGTAAAGTATGTAGTATGTATTGTTAATAGTGAGTAATAAATTAGTGTAAAAATTCAATGACAGTAATATGTTGATGTATTTTTTATTAGGTACATGGATCAATCGTTTTTTCTGGACAGTATAAGGATGGATGCTTCCACTGTCCTGTCTGTCATTTCCAGACAGAATATGAGTGCCAGGGAAAAGCACATACAATTGTGCATTGTAATATATTTTTGGACTATAAAGGTAAGAGCTTCTTGTACAAATGTAAATTTACCAGTGTATCAAAGAATCATGTATGATGACTTAGATGACAGTCAGCCTTAAACATCATTACCACCACAAGTACTACACTTATCTTATTTTGCAATGTGCTGCAAAACTTTTTTTAACCCCTGTGCAGGTTTCCGAATATACAAATGCCACCAAAACTGCAGGGTGTCACCCCATTTCCATTGCCCAGGCTGTAAAGACACTAGGATAAGGAGAAAAGATTTCTTTAGTCATTTATCGTACTGCCCCGGCAGCGTCTCCACATCGATCCCCGGGAACGTCTCCACATCGTGCCCCGGGAACGTCTCCATATTGTGCCCCGGCAGCGTCTCCGCATTGATCCCCGGGAACGTCTCCACATCGTACCCCGGCAGCGTCTCCACATCAATCCCCGGGAATGTCTCCACATCGTGCCCCGGGAACGTCTCCACATCGTGCCCCGCCAGCGTCTCCACATCGATCCCCGGGAACGTCTCCACATCGTGCCCCGGCAGCGTCTCCACATCGATCCCCGGGAACGTCTCCACATCGTGGCCCGGGAACGTCTCCACATCGTGCCCCGGCAGCATCTCCACATTGATCCCCAGGAACGTCTCCACATCGTACCCCGGCAGCGTCTCCACATCGAAGCCCAGCAACGTCTCCACACCAAGCCCTGCCTTTGTGAAGGACCAGCCTGGTAGTATTCGTTGTGAGAGTATGACCCAGCGCCCTGTTAGAGTTAATAAATTAAGCCAAACACTTGTGGAGTGTCCACACTGCAATATGTCTTTGTACTTTAAAAATCTGAAGCGCCATATGCAAAGAAGGCATTCTTCAAAGTTCACAGACATCACAAAAGAATACCACTTACAGAGTCAGCCTATAGACCCACAATCAGGCATTTATGCAGTGGCAAAGGCATTTCGTGGACCTCCTGTTCCTATTCATGTCAAGCATAGCATTCAAGGGCCAAAACAGCACATTGAGTGTGAGCTTGAGGAGTGTTGCCTCTACTCTGAAGTGGCTGGTAGAAGTGGACACCAGACATTTAGATGTTGCCATCTACGATCACTGGATTATTGTTCTGTGCCTTCCAGTTATTGTACTCTGGAAGAAAACACATTGAATGAAATGGTGGCTGCACATTGGTTTGGAGAAGAAAAAAAGCCATGTGTTTAGAACGGCTTAAGAATGCTGGGTTTGCTCCACTTGCTGTATCTGTGAACATTGGACCTGACACAGTCCACTATGTTACTGTTTTGAAGCAAAAACCATCATATTATAGTCGTGTTGGAAGAGTGATGGTGGCCTATAATTCAAGGAAAAATAGCTGGCACTGTCCTTGTGCTAAGCCACGGGCATCCTGTATACATAAGTACATAGCAAAATGGTTTTTATTCCAAAACAAACGCCATCTGTTCAAATCTGTCAAATCCACAGAACCAGTGGAGGATAACACAAGTAATCATCTGGAAGAGGGGGAGGTTTCACATGATAGGTATCCACTTGGAAAAGAGTTGTTAAGAACTGCAACATACATCCAAAAATTCAAGAAGTTGCCAGCCAAACTTCCCAAGGATGTATTGACACCATCATTTGAGCACCACCCTCCAAAAGAATTTGTACCCTCTGAAATGTTTTGCACAGAATGCAGTGGACAAAGAGTCCTTAGTGACCCCATTCTCATAACAAAAAGTGCTAAACTTTTAACACTAACACATGTCTTTGAAGGTAAGAGAAAAAGCCATACAGAACAAATTCCTTGTTGTTGTGAAACAGAGACACATTTTAACTAATACAATTTTTTGTCTTCATTTATTTGTCAAATGTTTAGGTATATCAAAATTCTTTAAAAAGTGCTTCTATTGTGGAATGATATACCGATATCAAGAGTGGGCTGACAGTGTACACAATTATGACGACCACATCATTCTTAGTCTTCACTTCTGTCTGTACTTAAGGGCATCTCTTCAGGTTAGGTGACCGTATAGTCCTTGCTTGTTGTAATACAAAAACATTTCTAGATATTTCACTTTGTGACAAAGTAGAACATTTTTCTTAACATAATTATCTTCGACATTATCATTTTATAGACTCACAACGCAGCAGGAAGAGTTTTTGAGCCCATGGAACTGTCATTAGATGTGAAGCTACCTCCGCACAGCCGTATATTGCGAGGATACATGCATTTTGAAGCTTTGACAGACCATCAATACACATATTTGTGTGTAAAATGTGGCTCCAATCCAGCCATTGTTGTAATGGATCTGCATAAGAAAGGAGTGTTTAGCATGCCAGGTGAGGAACATTTTTTAAAAATAATTTTAAATGTTACTGAAAAAAATGTTTATATCATAGTATATTTATCAACTTGCTTCAACTTTCTTTCACAGTAAGTGAAATCCCTGATCCATCAGATTACACTGGAATGGTGGACATGGAAGAATTTTGGACTTCAGTCTCTTCAGAAATCATTTCAGATGGACTTATGGAAACCTTCAGTAAGGCATAATTTACCTAACATGCTTTCATACAATAGGAATGTCTGCTTTTTTGCTTCAAGGATTCAGTAGCCTAATCCAGTCTTAAAATGTAATATTTTTAAATGTTATTGTCCTTTAACTGTGTGCATACAGATCAGGAAACAAAGCCATTTGTTGTACAACCTGACTATAATAAATGGTCACCCTGGATTGGGCCACAGACCAGGAAATCAAATGTGGTCTACAACACAGAGTGGGAGAAGGTACACAAAAAACTAACATCATCTGAGAAGGTCAATGTAGAAATACCCGAAGATAGACTTCTGGAACAAGTGATGGCAATGAAGGTAAAACTTCACCATCCTTTTCACATTTTTCCCCCAAAATCAAGTTATTCTTAGTCTTTAAATACATATACAATTTTAATCTTGGCGTGTTTACTGTTTGACAGGTGGAAGAGGTGAAAAAACTATGCAAGTCTTGTGGCATGGACTCCAAAATGGATCTCATTCTGCAACTTCGCACAGAAATAAAGAACCGTAGTGGCTATGACAAAGTATTTGCCAAAGTTTGGGGTGCCTCTGGTAAGTATGAGTATTGTTACTAATATTATTAATTATTACATTTATGGAGGGATGAATAGCATTGTGTGTTGCTAAAGAAATGTTATCTTCTTAGGTGGCTGGGCTACAATCATGTGTCCATGTGGAATTGTGTATAGTTTAAAGTTCAACTTGAGAGCAGAAAGTCCAAGGGACTATATGGACTTGTTAATGTCATGGCAGCACATTCCAAATATAGTAATTTATGATTTTGCCCGAGGACTGGCAACTCATGGAAATATAAGATTTCCAACAGCACTGCCCTTTTCTCCTCATGAGGGAAGATTATTCAGCCCTACTGCTGAAAACATCCAACGTGCAAAATAAGGGAGGCTCACAGTACGTCTTCCATGGTTAATAAAGGCCAAGGAAACTCCTGATATAAACGGGCACCCCTTAACGGGATCGTCAGAGCATTATGTGCTCTACGATAAATTGCATGAGGGAAATACGAAGGATGAGAAAGATGTACTAAGGAGGATTGAACTTGTTCCTGAACTTGCTGGCCGTATCAACAGTCAAGTGGTTGAGCAGTTTTTCTCACAAATGGAAAAAAACAACAACTTTTTAAACATGATGAAGCCAAGTACTCAGATTTTCTTGATCAGAAACATAATCCATCACAGAAATTCCATCATAAACACAGCAAGGATGGATAAGATTCAGAAGAGTCTGGACGTTGCACATGTTACATTGGACAAACATGGATAAGCAGTCATTGGTAAAGTGTAGTTATGTATTTATACCTTTGGGTGTTAAACGTCAATGTTTTGTTTTTGTGAATTTTTTTTGTTTTGTTTTTTAATTCAGGTACTTCTAATGAAAACAACAGGTTGGGTGAGTGTTGAGAAATACCTGTATAGTTCATAAGATTACAATTTCTCTTACCAATTAGTTAACAGTCCATTTATGCACACTGTATAGAGAGTGCTTTTGCAGCAAATGTGGCAGAAGTTAACATGAACACGTGTGGACACCAGTGTGAGGCTCTCACTCAAATAGCAAACCTCAGGCCCTGTAGAGATTCATGGACACTAAAGGGACATCTCCTTCAAGAACAAATGGTACGTTAGAAGGTTTGTTATGTTGGTATTTCATTTTCATTTATTTATTTATTTGTCATTTTTAGATCAACTACGTCTTGGATGCAAGTAAACCAGCCAATGAGCTGATAGTTAAGGAGGGATCAGTTTGCCTTACCCGGGACAATTTGTTGTCTCTTGGTCTGCAAAGGAACATGGACTCATTTGTGGGTACCATTCTTGTGGAGTCATTACCCTATTTGAATTTATGGAAGTAATGCTTGATCTAAAATCAATATTTTCAAACTTTTTTAAACAGGTAGGAGATGCATGCTTGGATGTTGTGCGTAGTATGGCACAAAATGAGGTATGATTTTGACTACTTCCAAAATGTCACAGTGTAGCCAATCAGTTACTCTGAATGAAAGTTTAAAGCTTTGTATTGTTTTTATTGTTTTGCAGGAAAAAGACATATTTATTTCTACATTGCATATCCCACCAACTTGGCTCCCACCTATACACTGTGATCCTCTAATATCTCTCCCATGGATGCAAGTAAACCAGCCAATGAGCTGATAGTTAAGGAGGGATCAGTTTGCCTTACCCGGGACAATTTGTTGTCTCTTGGTCTGCAAAGGAACATGGACTCATTTGTGGGTACCATTCTTGTGGAGTCATTACCCTATTTGAATTTATGGAAGTAATGCTTGATCTAAAATCAATATTTTCAAACTTTTTTAAACAGGTAGGAGATGCATGCTTGGATGTTGTGCGTAGTATGGCACAAAATGAGGTATGATTTTGACTACTTCCAAAATGTCACAGTGTAGCCAATCAGTTACTCTGAATGAAAGTTTAAAGCTTTGTATTGTTTTTATTGTTTTGCAGGAAAAATACATATTTATTTCTACATTGCATATCCCACCAACTTGGCTCCCACCTATACACTGTGATCCTTTAATATCTCTCCCAGTAAGTTGGGCTAAGTACAACTCACATCGGACATAATTTTTTTAAATTGGCATAGAATAGATATTTTATTTCAATTCTTTATGCTTTCAGTGTATTTTATCTTGACTACTGTTTAGTCAGTAGCTCAGTGTCTTCACTGTCATACAAGAGAAGTGGAGCATTGAACCTTACAATTTGGATGAGAACAAGTTTCAACTGCTTTACTTCCTGAGATGCTGTGTCTTAGATTTTGACCAGCTTTTACGCCTATACATAATAAAGGAGTGATACTTACATTGATTAGTTTAGTAACAGTTTCAGGTTTTTTTTTATAAAAATAACATTGCAACATTATCTTTTTTTATATACAGGCAGATGCTTCTAAGAAAGAAGCTCTTTTTCCCCCACTATGGGTTCCAGGACACTACATGCTATGTGTAAGAGGTTTATACATTCCCTCCTCTCGTATTCAGCAACCAAGTGGGGACTGCATGTCTGTCAAACTATGTTGTATTAATGTTTTTTAAGTATGTGCGCAATTTAACTTGACAGGCCTATACTACGAAACATGCCATTTTTTCTAGTTTAGATTGCATATTCCCTGCATGTAGGTGATGAGGCCTCGACAGAGAGAGTTGGTCTTTCTGGACTCTATGTACCATAAGACTGCTGGAGAATTTGGAAACATGTCCTACCAAACTGTCCTAAGGTTACTTAAGGAAGACGTTCCCCTGGCCAGCCCAGTTTTGTTTCATTTGGCGGTCATGTTCTCTGGCCTGCAGTTTACAGGGAGCACTTTATGTGTGACTAGTGTATGTTTTGTTCATGCTTCAGTTTGTGTTCTAGTGTTGATTGATTAATTTAGTGTTCCAAGCATGATAAAACAAAACAGAGGACTTCATTCACCATCCTTTTTTTAATAGGAAACTTGCACAGAATCTTGTCCCTGGAAAGTGGTCAGAAAAAACTGGAAGTGATTTAAAGGTAAACATACTCCAACTTAAATGATTGTGTGTGTGTGTGTGTGTGTGATTACTATACTTTATCTTATATTATCACAGTGAATAAGCAACTATAAAATCATCTATTCAAATGGAGTTCCTGTGCAAGATTATGGGAATGACTGTGGGATCTTCATGATCATGGTGAGTTAACATTTGGAATTTAAACAAGACAAATTACAAGATTAAATTGACAAAAATGTGTAAAATCTGATATAACTGAAACTGTTAATGACAGTCCACATTCATTTTTAACACAGTTTTATGCTGTTTAGCTTTACTGCATGACAACGTTATTGAAAATGTATATTTTATATGCAGTACATCTGGTATATGGCAATGGAGGCTTATTTTGATTTCACTGTGGTAAGTGTTGCTTAAATTTGACGTTATACAGCCTTGCTAAAAACAAGATAACTCCTTAATCATTTCACATACCTCAAGTAGGTGTAATCTTGTAGCTACTGACATGTTGAATTGTGGTTATGTGACTAACTGAATCTGGGAGTGATTTGAGTGTTCCTCCTGTGTTTGAATTAGTTTATATGAATGTTTTCCTATTTAGGAGGACATGCCAGATCTTAGAAGGTGGTGGTGTATAATTCTGATGGAAAACTTTCATCTAGAAGGGTACACAAAAAAAATTTGAATTAAATGAATTTAATGCAACAGTTAAAATTAAAACTAAAAATGTATTTTCTATAATGTGCGTTTGCAGTCACGGGCGAAGATTTGCACATTGGACTGAAGACGGGAGACAAACTCTTAAGGGAACTTTCACACCAGTCTTCCGCATACCAAGGAAGAGAAAATGTCCAGACCCCACAGTAAAATTTTAAGAGGTTTATATTTTACAGAGCTACCCTTAAAGAGACTGCTACAAAGTCATTACTGACCACATTTTTAATCATTTTCATATTTCCACAGAAGCATGACAAGCCAACCAAGAGAATCCATACCTAAAAAACATGATGAAATGGGCACAACACAAAAATGGGTACATTTACTGTATGTACAGATAAATGAATAGTTCCCCCTGTCATGTCATCATTGTGTATGAACTTTGTTGAACATAAATTTTTAGAAGAAAATTATATATATTAATATTATATTATTAAAATATTCAAATTTATATTAGAAAAGAGCTGTATCTCATTCAAAAATGGATCACTTCAGAAAACATTTGTTAAACTGGAGTTATG